GCTAGCTTTTTTCCAGTCTGACCCTATATCCGCTAAGGATACGGGTGATCGAATGCAGGCATCTATGATCAAAGACAGTCAGATAGCCAGGCTTTTCATGTCTTCCACTATCAATGACCAGGTCTCACTCACAGCCAACCATAAGGAGGACGGAGCGGACTGCTAAGCAAACCCTTTGGTCGATAGCTAATCAGTCGGATATCACGTCTACTTGGCCAGAGACGACGTATACTGTCATATGTGAGACTAGTCTTCTGTGTATCCGTGCTGAGATTTCGTCAGAGATCAACTGGCTGGCGCTGGCTGATGCAGCTCCCCAAGTAAGTGAAGTGATCAATGCGCTCTACCACTGCACTTCCTATTTCTAAGCTAAGAGTGTGTCGTTGTAGTCCAGTTCAGTCCTATAGCATCACCTTACATTTGACAGCTAGAGCGAATCGCATGCCAATCGCCGTTTGGAGATCGCTGCTCAACTCAAGGTGTTCAGAGGACTCTGTTGTATTTTGTCAGCGTTTTCACTCAGGTGGGAGGACTATACCATCTGCGTATTCTAAGTCAACGAGACTAGTATTCCCTGATGGTAACAAGTCAATTGCTGCGTCTCTGAAGTGAGTTAGGGTTAATTCCATTAGTACATCTATGATGAAGATGAATTGTGGAGGAAGTTGAATCAGCCCTTATTTACTGATTGATCGCTAATGAGATCTCAGCACGGATTAGAAGAAAGGCTCAAATGACATTTGCCCGCGCTTCACCTCATTCCTGAATTAGATGTCATATTCGAATGGCTATCGATCAGAGGATGTGTGTACTGTACGGCAACAGTTCACTCAATTATCTTTGACGGCTAGCTGTGAGATATGGCCAATTAAAGTGTTTCGCTTAAACTGTTAAACTGTTTCGCTTCCCGTTAAGTCTCAGTCAGACTGCTTCAAATTAAATAGCTTCCTGTCGGACATCAGTCAGTGGTCTAAAATAAATGGCCTAACGCTGAATCCCTCAAAATGCCAGACTGTCGACTTCTCCTTTAGGCATAAACGAGATCTACAAACACTAGTAAGCACTCATGATGTCTGTAGAATCGAGGGGACTATAATTGAAACAAAGTCTAATGCAAAATACCTCGGATTAGTTATATCTTCCGACCTTACTTGGTCATCTCATATCCAAATGATTTCCAAGAAAGTGTTTCGTCTAACCTACTACATTAAGAAACTCAGACTAACTGGAGTCCCTCAACCTCTGCTTACACAATTTGTCAACTCTCGTATCCTACCTATTCTACTTTACTGTTCCCCGTTAGTCTTTCCTGGGTTACTGAAAAAGGATTATACCATCCTGAGAAGGATGTTGAAGGTAGTTAGCAGGACTAGCGGTGTAAAACTCAGTCAGCTCGTCACAACATTAGTGGATAAGCATCTGAATACATGTGAGAAATGGTCTAAAACCATACTCTCTGACCCCCAACACCCCCTCTATTCCCAACTCTCTCCCTGCATCTCATCAGGTAGAACCAGAAATCAGTATAAAATAATATATGCTCGCACAACCAAGTATAGGAACTCAACGATACCATATTTGGCCCGTGTTCTAAGTGACAGAGACAATGTTAGACGTGAAACCTATGACTTGCTTTGTTGTTAATAACAGAATTTTGGCCCTTGTTTTTTTTCCCCCTTACACTCTCTTATTTGTACTCTATAGTGAACAACCTTCTTAAACATACTTAGCTGCTTAAAATTATTATCATTGGCTTACATTTTTATTCTTTATTCTACTCCTTCTTTGTACATCTACTGGGTCCGACTATATTATCACTATGATTATTAAAAATTGTCCCGTCATTAACCATCATGTAACATTAGTTTTGTGGTTGTTCTTTGTTCGGCACTATTTAACTGACAATCTTGTTTGTTATTGCCACTATCACCATCTTAAAAAATTTTGTATTATGCATGATTCCTCACACTGCCACTACAAACAACCGCATTAGTACTGACAAAAAAAAACCTGAAATGTTTATCTTATGATTGCTTAGTGTTGTTCAATCAAATTAACTGATCATCTTGGCTATAAACATTTTTTTTAAGAACATCTCATAATTTCCCGTATGATTATAGCTGTTACTGTTCACCACGCATACACATATCGTAGCTTCCACTAACTAATACTGAAATATTTTTTTTTCATTATTTGTGTTCGTCTTCTTTTTTACTCAGTATTTTTATTTGCATTTTTTTGGTTATTTCTGTTTCTTTTTTTTGGTTTTTATTATATTTTTTTTTATAATACTCCTTTTAAATGTACGATGAAATTAGATGCAATATTGTAGATATGTGCTGAAAATTCCACACTGTACCACAAGTACTGTTTCTGGAATAAAGCGAAATTGTTATGTTATGTTATGTTATGTTAAAAGGTGTCTGCGTTCCATATATATATAGGCCAATGATTGAATACTGGATGGGACTGGCTTGGTTGTTTGTCATTTGAAGGTTTTGAATGAATACACTACCAACCAATCACAACAACATCCAGCACCAGTCATACTAAATGGGAGAGATTCGACAGAGGTGACTTCCTGCCTTCACTTATCTGGTCAGGAAGCACGATTTCAACCACAAGCCAACGGAACGGATGAAGATGTCAAAACCAGATGGCCATGCAAAATTGGAAAGGCAAGATACGCCTTCATCAACCAACCTGAAACCAGTTTGGAAGTCTTCTGCACTGACTCAGCCAGACAACCAGCCAGCATAAACAACAAGATTCGGATTCTGTCCAACACAGATCTCGAGTCAGTCAGTTAGTCAGTCACATCCTCCATACTGGTCAGAAACGTGCACTACGCCGGCAGGCCACAACCGAATTTTATTGAAAGATGCCACCTTCTCTGGCTGGCTTCATACTGAAGGTCAAATAATGGTCAAAAAATGGAAATGGACTAATCGGGCATCCGTTGAGGAAGCCATCAAATTACATCGCGTACAAAATCAGGCCATCACTCGGGTGGAAACCCAATGGGAAGTGACGAGTGGATCGTTGGCACAAGAGTGACATGGAGGAGATCGTGTGTCGAAGAGGAGATGAGAGATTATGGGCAGTTGTAAAATGCAACTGAAGAGGACAGCAGAGAACGGAAGAAAGTGGAGACTTTCTTTATTTTTTTATTTTTTTTATTACAGCTTGATTCCACAGCGTATTTTATGGTACAAGTATGAAATTTTCAGCATGTGATATCCGTAGCCGAAATTTCGCAGGCCGACCATAGAAATCAGGTGCGCGTCGGCAGGGGACCGAAACCTGGACCATGTGCATGGTCGGCAAGAGTCTTAACCACTGTGTCACCGACGCACGACGCCAGCTCCTCGACCGGTAATCGAACCTGGACCTTCCACTTGACAGGTGGAGATACTCACCACTATACTATCGAGGAGCACTTGTTGTTGAAGCCATATGTTCCACTCGGAACCCAAGGGAAAAACAAAAATAATAATAATAATAGTACATATTTGGTACGTAAGAATCTTTTGGGCTGTAAAGCTACCAGACCACACTATAAATGTAGTTTTATGATTCGTTCTTATGGTACCAAAGATTCTCTCATATCAAAGTGTGCTTTAATATTATAAGAATATTATTCTAGGCTCTATGTGTGTGTGTGTGTGTGTCATTGACAGGAGTTAGGCAATTACGTGTTTATGAAGATGCTGGTGGTTATCGGGATATCCCATCGGATCCTGATAGTAATTCACATCATTCCATCAGTCGAATCAATCCTATCTTAATCAAAATATTTCTAGCCAACCTGGACAGCATTATCCGCCTCCTCCAAATCAACATTATCCTTCAATGCCTCAGTAAGAAACGAATAATTCAACATTCACCTGAAATGATTCTAGCTTTGATTCAATGTTGTCTTCGTCGTCATTGGGTGGTTCTATGATCGTGTCTACAACTGGTGGTGCTAGTGTCCGTGATACTAGTCTGAATAGTTTCCCACCATCATCTAATATGCAAAGTAAGTTTCGATTAGAGCCGATAAGATTGATTTTTTTGTTAGTTTTTTAACCTGTGATCAGAAATTTATACTTCCGTAGTTTATCTCTTTTTAAAAAATATGAGACACTAAGATCTCTTTTATTCAGTAGTGGGGGGACATCCCTAACTTGGCCACAAGAAGCCTTGCTTGACCTAGGTTTCGTGCTAGTTGGCACTCACCAATCAGTCAGCAAGGCGTATCTGCAATCACCTTGAAGGAACTCATGTCCCTTCTGAGATTTGAACCCGCATCACTCAATGCAGCCTGCAGTCACAGACGAAGTTACCACTGATCTATTCCGACTCTCGTGTAACTGACCTCCTGTAGAACCGACTGTATTGGATATTTTTGATTAGACACTGGTTAGTAAATAGTGTATTACTGTGTGCGGCATTGCAAACCTGACTGATAGAATTCAGTCTGCACCGAAGAAAAGACTAGACACATCATGGTCCGGGGTCCGTTCCCTCCCACCGATGGATGCAAACCTGATATCAATGGCTGGCCTGCAAAATTTGGGCTACCGATATCACATGCTGAAAATTCCATACTTCTATCAAAAAGTACTGTCTGGAATCAAGTGGTAATAAAAATTTTCAAAAAAAAATTAATTAAACTTTTACAGAAGAGCGTATCGATTAATTCCTGTGGAATGAAAACGAAATACTCTGGGCCCTTGATAATTACAAATCCTCTCTTGAAAACTGATCAAAAAATCTTTGGCGGATAAGCGTTAGTTGGGGGAAAAAAACACGGACAGCCTTACATCATAGCCCAATGAATTCCAACCATACGATCAAGTAAACGACAATACACAGTGGTCATGTGATCAGATTCTAGATTCGTAAACTAGCAAACTTTCTAGTCCTTGGAATCCACCTTAGAATCATAGTAATACACGCAAAAGAAAATATTAAAACACATTTGAGATATTTCACTGGAAATCAATTTAACTCACCATTTGTATTGACACCGCCAGTTTTACTGTCTAATGCACATTCATGCTGTGCAGTGATTGAAGAGAAATCTACAAGGTGGGGTTGGGTGTAAAAGAAAAGAGAAAATAATTATGAAAAATTTTGCTATGTGCGATGTCTGTTAAATTACAAAAATGAACGCTTCAATGAGTAGTTTAAGTATTGTAAAAACAGAAAGTTATAGAATTTAATTGGTGGATGGTAACTGGCAGTGGAATTCAGGATGCGCATTTCGTCTTATTTGGGACTCGTCATACAGTAAGTTGCTAATTCGATCCTTTTGCTAACAGGCACATAAATGATACTTTGTAGAGAGGCGGATGATTTAAAATGGAATGCAAATGTGAACAGTTCATAGTCCACCCTGATACTATTATTATTTCCTTTAATTCCTGGAGGAACATGGGCTTCAGCTCCATTGAATCGCCATTGCCTTCTGTTTTCTGCCAACTTTTGCACTCCGCTCCAAGTCCTGCCCACATGCTTTCATCGTCTCCTCTTCACATGACCTCCTCCAAGTCACCACACCCTTGTACTGACGACCAACTCGCCGCAACCCTGTCGGCGTCCACTCAAGCGATGGCCTGGCGTGTGATGTCACTTGATGGTTTCCTCGGTGTATGGCCAATCCATCTAAATCCATTTCTTTCTGTCTATGTTTTTATTTGTTTATTTTTTTTTAATAAGTGTGAACATCATTTAAGCTGTGTTAGAACTGTTAATTTTGCAATTCCCCTCACTATACTGCTATATCAACAGAACATTAGATTCAATAATCTATAACATCCTAAAATTTCCAAACTGAATTGACAATACTGTTTGAAACAAACTCACTGTTATTATTATTATTACTATATTTATTATTCTTTTTTTTGTACTTCGAATATTTTTGACTTTATACAGTAAATGTGGACAAATTCCTCTAGTTAACTTTGTTTTAATTCTTAATTTTATTTATGTTTCTAGCAAATTAGATGCAATATTGTGACAAATGCTGAGAATTCCATTCTGCATTATGAGTACTGTTTTCGGAATATAGCAGATTATTATTATTATTATTAGCATTATTATTACTGGTGCGTCGGTGGCACAGCTGTTAGGACGCCCGCCAACCATGCGCATGGTCCGGGGTTCGATTCCCGGCCTCCACCGCACCTCTTTTACCTTGCTAAGCCAGAAATAATGCTGATAAAGAGGAAAGGTTGGGAATGAGGCTGGCTAGCAGCCCCATCCTGTAAAAATGAACACCACTACTACAGAAACTTCAAGCTGGCTCTAGCTTGAAGGTGCCCTATGTTCCACTGGGAACGTGAAGGAAAAAAATTATCATTATTATAACTGGCTTTATTTTGTACAGCGTTTATATATTCTACAAAATTTTAATCATAGTATATTGCATGATATTTTCTGTTCATCCAGGTAGAATCTTCAAATAAAACATCACATGACGGTGGACCAAATAGTGAAACACTTCAGCTTGATATAAAGCCCAAACCAAGAAATTAGGATGCCTTTCCCTAGTCTTCTTGGGTAAATGTATGTTGTAGTTTGGTTGAATGGTAATTAGAAAAGTTTTAGGAATCCACTTTGAGGATCAAGGACACAACCCAAGAACAGCGCTATCTGTTCCATGATTGCGAATCAGCAAGGTGTTGTAAGCACATTCAATACTCGCCAAAGTATAAACCATAATCAAAGGTCATATTTTTTATTAGATTTAAACAAACTGAACGCGAGAAAATATCTATGAAATATCGATGAGATTTTTCAGCAGCTCAAATTTAAGCAGACCGCCACCTAATGGCATGATGGCCGTGGATGGATCGTGGTTTAACTATTAAGCTTTCATTTTCGCCTTCCAGACAAAACATTTTCAGTAGAGATATATCTTCACAACACCTGAATGTGATTGGTTGTTAATTTGCCTTAGTATCGATCGCTTTATTGATTTTATCCAGGGAAGGGGATGGGTTGAGGGGCTAATGTAAACGTCAAGACCTTAAACTAAAAACACCTACCTGTGCTACAAATCTTCTCCGTCTTCATTATTATTATTATTATTATTTCAAAGTACACTGATTTGCTGAGACAGCAAAATGTACAACGAAGGAGAAAAATAATCAATAATAATAATCAATATTCATTTACATAAATTATACTTCCAATCAATAATAAACTATCTATAACCATCAATTTTTGTTGTTTTCTCGGGCGAGTGTTTTACTTTAGTCAGCTTCAGTTTATTGAATTTGATATATTCTAGTTTCAGTCAATCAGTCAGTTGGTCGATGAGTCATGAGTTCGAAACCTTGTCTACCTAAAAACAGACTTAAGCAACCAAGTTTTATCGTTGGCCTTCAAACAATAGATGAGGTTCATTGCTACGTATGCTAATTTCTTTTATTGGACTTCTAACGTAACCTACTTTAAACAAGTTTATGTATGGTATATACTACTGACTGGTTGATATAAGTAGCTTTGGGAATTAACGGGGTTAACTAATAGTACTCTTTAATTAGATCGAAGTGTTACGAACATCAGACGACCTTATTCAGCCGTGTTAAACTGACCTTGTAAACGCAGTACTTCAGCGATGCATTAAATAAAGTTCACAACCAATAGGAATGCAGCAATCCAAACAGAAAGAAAAACAAATGGGCTCATGAAAGTGCGCGATAACCCCTTAAAGTGGTTTTTCTTAAGGTTTTAGGCAAACCTAGGTGCATATAACACCAAACCAGACAGTCTGTTCCTCCTCCCTAACACTAATCTAATCTAATCCTATGTCAGTTGACATTGCCTACCCAGAAAGACGACGGCTAAGCATGAGTAAGTTCACAATCCCATCGATCAGCTTACCCTACTCACCTAACACTCTGTACTTTACTTTAGTATTATTCACCCTCTTATACCACTTAACACGGGAGACAGAACGTGGACAAAGACAGGCGGCTTCTTCGAACCTTCCAATTTCAGTGGCCACATTTCACAGACGTAACAGAGTGCTTAACTGACTGCCACGCAGTACACATCGTTTTATCGGTAGGCAAATATAATGTCTTCAAGGATAGGACTTCGGGTGAACATAGAGAAAACAGAGGTAGGTGATGAAGATTCCTGGTCAACAGCAACACCAACAACAACAACAGACAACAGACAAAAATCAGCATAAACCGGAGAAATCTGAAGGAAGCAACCTCCTTTACCTACCTACCTACCTACCTTGGAAGCATCGTTTCAATGACAGGCGGAACTGATGAGGATATCAAAGCCAGAATCGGAAAAGCAAGACAAGCTTTCATTATTCTCAAGTTTGTGTGGAGGAGATCAACAGCATTCAGCATCAAAAATAAGATCCGAATTTTCAACTCCAATGTGAAGTCAGTCAGTGCTACTATACGGGTGGATCAGAGACTTGGCGCATCCCAAAAAGTTTCTCATTCAAACTTCAGACCTTCATTAACAGTTGTCTTCGCTCAATACTCAAGATCAGATGGCTGGCCAGAAAAGATCAGAAACAGGGGTCTCTGGCAATGAGCGAACCAACACAGCAGGAACCGATTGTGAAACAAATAGACAGGAAGAAATGGGGATGGACTGGCTGGCCATACTCTGAGGAATCAAACCATCAAATGACATCACTAGACAAGCCATCGCTCGAGTGGAAGCCGACAGGGTTGCGGCGAGTTGGTCGTCAGTGCAAGGGTGGGGTGACTTGGAGGAGGTCATGTGAAGAGGAGATGATGAAAGCATGTGGGCAGGACTTGGAGCGGAGTGCAAAAGTTGGCAGAAAACAGAAGGCAATGGCGATTCAATGGAGCTGAAGCCCTATGTTCCTCTAGGAATTAAAGGATATAATAATAATAATAATAATAATAATAATAATAATAGTGGTCAACACCCTCAATCACTTCTTCTTCTTCTACTTTTCTTTTACTCTTTCAAAAAGATAGACGGAGCATCTACTTTTTTCAGCATCACAGAAGAATAAAACAGTCATTAATTATTGTCGTTATCAATATTATAAATTATTAAACTCAGATTGACTCTAACAACAACATTAAAAACAATAAATCAAAGCATACACATATATACGCATAAATCATTGCATAAACTTACCTATAACACGAACAGACATTTCAACAGAACTTCGACCATAACCATGTACAGCATGACAAACATAACGATTAGAATCTTTCAGTGTAGCCGATTTAATGATATAGAATTGTTCTTCAGATAGTATATGAGCTGGTTGATCCAGTGTATTCCATTGATAGAAGACAGCATCCCCGGGACAAGTGAGATTAAGACTTTGACCAACACGTATTAAATAACCCATACGAATTGGACTACGTGGTTGTAGACTGTCTGATGGAGAATCTAGAAGACGAGGTGAGAACAAATTCGAAGAGGTTAAAATGTACAAGATAAAAAGTAACATATTATATGAAATATTATTCCATTGAAATTTAGATTGATTAAACCGAAGAGCTCGGTCTCAGGCTGACATGACGGCTTCTTGACCCATTGCACAAGTGGTCTAGTGGATAACGCTTTGGCATTTGAAGCTATGGGCAATGGGTTCGAGCCTCAGTGCGGGGAACATCATCACTCACTGAGGAATGCAGGTACATCCAGCTAGCTGACGAGTCCCAAACAGGACGAAATGTGCATCCTCCTTGTGTTCCACTGCTAGTCACCATCCAACAATTATATATGAAATCTTGTTTATTTCTGATGTCACTGCCAACGCCACCGTCACCTGAATTGTTTACATGTATCTGCTAAACACCGATTTACCTAACACTACAGTCCGCCTTTTAGTGAGTAGTTAGAAGCAGAAGTAGGGCTAGGCCAAACTGGAGTTAGACGACTGACCGAATTCAATCGTATTGCCAACCCATGAAGTCAATTTCCCTTTTTATTTTTGAAGTCGAACAGTTTGTCGTGAGTGATAGGATCAATAGAGAAAGCAGGAAAAATGATGAAAGTTCAAAGGGAGAGATGATTTTTTCTTCAGAGGAAGGCAGAAATCTCCAATGGGGGGACATCGGTTCTTTCGAGATTACAAATACCTAGTGATTATTGGTGAGTACTACTCGGCACAAAAACCAAGTCCATAGCCTCGTCAAAATGTGGAAATCACCCCTAGTTTGATGATAAATACACTCCAAAGTTGACTACTGAGATGATAGAATGATAGGATTCAGTCGGTATCAACGAGCAAACAACACCGAGGACTCCAGACACAAGATATTGAGAACATCTTTCTGGATGCTGTAAATCTGTTGATTAGTTAGACAGCCGAACCAGTAATTATCATAACTATTATCAACGACCATTATACATCAAATAATAGTCCTCCATTGGTCTTAGATAGTTTGACCATGAGTTAACCGACTGATACTGCCGTTCTTCTAAATTAGTTGACAGAAGAACTAGCTAAGAAGACAGTGTGATGTCAAGCGGATAGTTCCATATCAGTTATACATGTCTGTCGCCATCACCCTGAGGATGTCACAGCTCACCAGCTGACGAAATACCAGAGTAGTAATTCATTGGTGATTAGTTCGACACATTGTCATCACTAAGATTTTTGCTTCACTCTCATCGTCATTATCAGCAATTACACATCGATAAAAAAAAGTCTACTAGACCTGAAACTGTCTACCTCAGATAATCTGATCATCTATACTTATTCGTGAGCGGTGCTAAAGAATACCTTCAAGATATACCAACCTGAATGAGGGCCATTAGGATACAAATAAAAATAAGACATTTAAGAAAATGTTTAACTCTAAAGCCTGATGCTCTCAGATGTGATTATCAAGCAAAACATCATTTTGCTGTGTGATTACAACTGATATGATTATGAAACGCAATAAATTTTGTTCGAAACCTTGTCATCCAGTAAATAGCAATACTGTTTCACTGTGTGACACATCTAGTAAACAAACTAATATGGAATTACTTACTACCACAGTGTCCAATTTTTACACACATATATTAATATCATTTACTGCCACTAAGTGAATGACTGGTTTCAACATAGAAATTTGCACTCATGGGCAACACTTCCAGCTGACACACTCCACTGCATGTAGCACACAAACCAAGATAAGAGAGTAGACAGGTTCAACAAAAGGGAGATAACAAACAGAAGTGTGAGTGAGGGAAAGAGAATAGTGATCATGTGGAAGAATAATAGAGGAGTTTTATTGAATATGACTGGCCAATCAAAAACAGTGAATGCATCTGCACCAACTAGGATTTTCAGCCAGCCATATCACCACTAATTGTCTCCAGCCTTCATTGGTTCTTACCATCATCTAGAGGACCCTAGCCAATCAGATAGCTAGGCAGTCTACATCTCCACATGAGGCTGGTTATGGATTTCATTGACTGGTGAAGTCATGTTTTGATTTGACCATCACCAGCTGGCTCTTTCTTTTCCAAACTGATCGATTCTATGTCAGTCAGCTAAGATTGCCCGTAGCCTAGGAGAGCAATTTCTAAGGATGCATGCGTAACACAAGTCCTAACCATCTCAGTTGATGCAGCCACTTCACAACGTCGTCGACTGATTTCCCCTCCCACCCACCTAGTACTCAACTGAGGCCTCATCTCAACATAACTCATTCTATTACACCTACCACTGAACAGGGGAGATAGGACAAAGATAGCTGTGATCAAAGACAACTAACCGGGTTTTCTGTATCTTCCACTTTCATTAGCGATGTATCGCTCACAGCTAGCCATAAAGTAGAACTGACCGAACTGTTTTTGTGCAATACACACGTCCTTTGGTCAACAACCAGGCAGCTGGATGTCACGTCTACTCAGTGAGAGATGACGTAAGCCTTCTCTATCCGTACTGAGATTTCGTTAGCGATCAACCCGTTAGTGCTGGCTGATGCAACTCCACAAATAAGTGAAGTGGTCAACACCCTCCATCAACCCTTTCACTCCTGCCTATCTTTAAGCTAGGAGTGTGTCAATATAGTCCAGTCGAGTCCTGTAGTCTCAGTTTAAATTTAACAGGATTGCGAGAATTGCATGTCAAACGTTCGAAGACTGCTGATCACCTCAAGGTGTTCACAGATGTAGGAAAATTTATTCATCACATTAAAATTGGTTTTATTTAAAGGTATGTTTAATAACATCTCCCTAATTCCTAAATGTTTGTTTTTATTTTCACAAGGCAAAAAATAGCGCCATAATTCATTAAAATTATTCGAGCATAAATACCAATAATAATAATAATAATAATATGTTTAAGTATGTTTAAAATTTCAACAAAAATTTCAACAGTATGCAAAAAAAATGCAAAACACAAAGACAAGTTCAACATCGACATCGACAACGCTAACGCGAATGCCAAACGCCATACGCCAAAACACCAGAGACAAGGAATAATAACGACAGTGATTTTAACACCTTGACTTTGTCAAAACAAAAATAATCATACTACTAATACACTAGTACACTAATATTAGTATATAGTTATACCAAAACAGAGATATTTGAACATTAAAACAAAGGTATGTCATATATTTGAAAATAAAATTGAAAACTTGAATATTCAAGTCAGATGTAGTTGTGAATAGACAGTTTTCAGTGTCTTTCTTCCTCTCTCTCCCCACCTCTCTCTCTCGCGCGCGCGCCCTACCGCTCCTCAACATGCACACACACACACATACACACCGTCACTCCTATTTTACAACTCGTAAGTAAATAAAACCGTCGAACGAATACATCAGAACACGACAAGAATAGAACAGAACAGGAAGTTGAATAAGGGAAAAAGATTGTTAATATGTGCAGTGGTGTGTGTGTATGTGTGTGTGTGTGCGCGCGTGTGTATCAGCAGTCAAGCATCTTTGTCGTGTTCACTGATGAAATATAACAAGAATAGGAAATTAAAAAATTATTATTATCATTACTATTGTTGTTCCATTATTACTATTATGATTATTATTACTATTATGGTATCGTTGAACATTGAATTGTTCATTGTTTCTGTTGTGTTGTTCAAATGAACGAATATGTATAAAAGTACCAAAAAGAAAGAGGAAATGAAAAATATCTCATAAAAGATAATACATTCGAATATTGCTATGATTATTATTATTATTATTATATGGTTGATGTTTTTACGAGTTGATCACAGATTGATATCAGTTAGAGAGCCATTGAAAACCAGCCATAAGGAGTACTGGACAGCTGCTAATTCATCCCACTAGTTTGGGAATCATCGGCAGTACACACCCACCACATCGGGGTTCAAACCCAGGACCTTCCGGTTACAAGGCCAGCTAGCTCGTATACCATTCAGCCACTCACCAGGACCCAATTCAATGGCAGCCAGCCTATGAATTCTAACTTTTACCAGCTCGTGATTTAGCCCAACCCCAACTATTGTCGTTGGTGGGACACACATCCACACACGTGACATCTAATTGAACCTCATTGGTCACGACTTCTCGCTAGAACTCAGGAAACTCAAACCTGTAGCAAGTCACTAGCGAGCATCAGATTAATTTTCTATAGTTTGGTTTGTAAGGGTTCGAGTCCCACTGGGTGCGTTCTGTCGTTGATTACCAAACTAGTGGAGTGAAACAGCTGTCCAGTACTCCATACTGGCTGGTTTTCAATGGTTCTCTAAATGATATCAAACTGTGATCAACTCGTAAAAACATAACTAACCAAACTATAGAAAATATGGTTGATGATAAGATAGACGGGAGGAGATGATGAATGGGTTGAGTTCTTCAAAATGAATGGTTTAATGGTGAAGTTCTTGTTGTCTATGAGTCATTGCCTTCCTGGACAACATTTTCAGTGCTAAATTTCATATGAAATGAGTGAAAGGTTCTTCGTTCATCAATGAAACGACTGATTATGTAACTCTAAACTTATTCATCCACAAAATTTGGGGCATATTACAGAGAGATTGATTGAAGTTTGTCAGTGCCTTAAGTTAACTACTTAGATATTTTGGGCATAATTCAAGAGGTAGACATATAACCCTGGTTATACTGCCTAGTGACCAATTAATTTATTCATTTACAGTCAGTCTGACAGGAGGTCGAATATGAGGATGAATAGATCAATAATAACTTATCCAATGAATGAGGCGAGTTCGCATCTCATAGAGATTATGAGATCCTTCAGTATTGCAGATAGCAAGGTCAAGCATGGATTTCTCCTCACATTCAACCATCTAATAAGTGCGGAAGAACTGATCCCCCTTCTCCTAAAACCGGAGACTTTGGCTTTTAAGAATTTTTCTCATGAGTGACATCCTTCAAAATGAGACGATTATTATTGTTATTATTATTATTATTAGATCACAAACTCGGCACATTATGGTCACCAGA